GGGGGTCTTCAGAGAAACGAACATATGACGTTTCTCATGGACGAAATCGATATGTGAGGCTTCCCTTACAACCGGTAAACCAGAGTTTTTACGTCCTTTGTACAACGTAAGAAGTGGATACTGGGCAAATTGGTTCAGTACTAATATGGAACTCTACTCAATAAAAAGCCTGTTCTGATATCTTCAAGCTGTGTTAAATTCATACGATTGATAATAAACGATAAGCTTTCTTTACAATCATTTATTTGAATGTGTTTGTTTTGGCCGTCGTTGTCGCTTTGCTGCATGTCCTAAGCTACATCTTAAGGACTCTGATAAACGGGGTGATAAAACATGATTACGCGATTCCTATGCAACATTGTAAGTGTTACACAAAAGACGCATTGTATTTCTATATTCTATGAAATGTGTGTGAACGACGCATCGTATTTCCATATTCTATGAAATGTATGTGAACGACGCATCGTATTTCTATATTCTATGAAATGTATGTGAACGACGCATCGTATTTCTATATTCTATGAAATGTGTGTGAACGACGCATCGTATTTCTATAATCTATGAAATGTGTGTGAACGACGCATCGTATTTCTATATTCTATGAAATGTATGTGAACGACGCATCGTATTTCTATATTCTATGAAATGTGTGTGAACGACGCATCGTATTTCTATATTCTATGAAATGTATGTGAACGACGCATCGAATTTCTATATTCTATGAAATGTGTGTGAACGACGCATCGTATTTCTATAATCTATGAAATGTGTGTGAACGACGCATCGTATTTCTATATTCTATGAAATGTGTGTGAACGATGTATTGTATTTCTACATTCTATGAAATGTGTGTGAACGACGCATTGTATTTCCATATTCTATGAAATGTGTGTGAACGACGCATTGTATTTCTATATTCTATGAAATGTGTGTGAACGACGCATCGTATTTCTATATTCTATGAAATGTGTGTGAACGACGCATTGTATTTTTATATTCTATGAAATTGTGTGAACGACGAATTGTATTTCTATATTCTATGAAATGTATGTGAACGACGCATTGTATTTCTATATTCTATGAAATGTATGTGAACGACGCATCGTATTTCTATATTCTATGAAATGTGTGTGAACGACGCATCGTATTTCTATATTCTATGAAATGTGTGTGAACGACGCATCGTATTTCTATATTCTATGAAATGTATGTGAACGACGCATCGTATTTCTATATTCTATGAAATGTATGTGAACGACGCATCGTATTTCTATATTCTATGAAATGTATGTGAACGACGCATTGTATTTCTATATTCTATGAAATGTATGTGAACGTACTTATCAACTCCATACACCCACGCGACTGCGATCAATTCAAAGAACGCGATGGTGAGCAGCGGTATCGTTACAGAGAAATTATCAAACAGCTCCAACCAATAGACACCGGATTCCGTGCAAAACGTCAGACCAATAATATACGACACCAAGCACACAACAGCTGAAATTGATACACACAACACAATCTTAGACGATTAGCTTTAGGAATTCATATCCTAAGGCCAAAAAATGTGGGTTTCCTACTTCTTCTTGTAAAAACTTATGTAAGGTAGGTCGGTTTCAACTTTTTTTAAACTTTTTTTTTAAATTTTCCTATTCAGACTTCGTGCATATATCACAACCGGACGCCTAGTTTGTTTAGTCAGTGCTTCCACATCCAAAGATAAATTTTCCCCACTTGGATACACACGTAAAAATCTCGCATCTTGTAACAAAGTTTGTCAACAAGCAGTCAACAAGTTTGGAACAAGCTGGTAACAATTTGTAACAACCTTGTTGATATTATCAGATTTGTTGCAAGGTTGTTCCAACAAGTCCGATACAGTCATGATATAGCAGTATTGTTACAACCTTGTGTTGTCAACCTTGTAACATTCTTGTTTATCATGACTGTATCAGACTTGGTAGAACAACCTTGTAACAAGTCTGATAATGCCATCAAGCTTGTTACAAGTTGTTAACAGCTTGTTCCAAAGTTGTTACAACAACTGGGAACAAGTAGTGCGAAGGCATCTTGTTGGCAGCTTGTGAACAGATTTGTAACAACTTGTTTGCAGACTTGTAACAACTTGTGCGTTTTTACGTGTGTAGGTGGCGTCGTGAACCCCGAAAAAGGGATAGTGTGTTTTTGGATTTGTTGCCAGGAAGGAAAGGTCTATAAGCGTACCTGTGATGTATGGTTTCTTCACATTGAAAAGTTTGGCATCAAAAAGTGGCGTGATGACGCCTTCCAGTGTTCCGAACATGCTACCAAAACCAAGCGTGATCAACATCATGAAGAATAAGATTGCCCAAACATGAGGGGCGGGCATCTGAGTTATTGCTTCAGTGAAAGCAATGAATGTCAACCCAGCACCTGATGCAACCTAGAGAACAATAAAATAATTATTTAGGTATACCCACGTAAAAATCACTCACAACTTGTCAACAAGTTGTGTTCGCAAGCTTGCCAACAAGCCGTAACAATGCTGTTATTTTATCAAGTTTCTACAAGATTGTCACTCACAACTTGTTGGCAAATTGTTGAATTGCAGGACGATAACAACTTGTTGAAATAAGCAGTTGACAAGTTGTTGGAACAGCAATGCTACAAGTCTGCTGCAGGTTTGATACAACTTGTGCGTTTTTACGTGTGTAGGACTGTAGGCAATGAAAGATAGCAAAGCACACAGCGCAAAGAAGGAGACCATTTGGATGAAACCAAATCCTACATAACTTACTTTTCCCAATTCTTCTTGAACATCGCAATTCGGTACACCTTTACACTTCTGTGTCGCCTAAAACGCAGGCAAATTACATTTTTCATCTTTATATTCAAAATGGGAAATGGGAATTTAAAAATAATTTCTATCTGGGATCACCATGACAGAGCAAAACATTTCTGCCAAGAGTCAAGTGAAGTGTTTATGAGGAGATTTTTTTGTATGTTACGTAACACGCGCTCAAAACTAATGCGTATAATATACCACTTGAGGTTATGACTAAATTCAAAATTTCTACTTTTCGATACGTTTCTCAAACGGCAAACAAACTTAAAAAGTATGTTTAGTC